CCGCCGGCGGTGGGGGGGCGGCGGCAGCGCGGGGGGCGCCTCCCTGCCGCGTCTGGACCCGCGGTCACTTCGGACTAAGGTACTTCGAATTCAGCTCCGTTATTAACGGAGCTGGATTTGCGTACCTTAGTCCGAAGTGGGGGGTTAGTGGGGACCAGGCCTGAGTGTCAGATACCGTGACCATGAGCTGCTGCCTCCTCCTGCTTTCCTCTCTGTCCCTGATGTGCCTCTGCTCAGCTGGGGGGAGAAGAGACACACAGACGCCTCTGTCTTACCGCAAGAAACCTGTGGGTTCTTGGGTTGCCCTGGCCCTATTGGAGACCACCCAGCTGTTTGGGGCAATCTTACCCAGCCCAGCCCTTTAACATCGCTCAGCCCCCAACCCACCTCAAGCCATGCTGCCTATGCCCAGCCTCGCCCCAAGGGCTCTGGGGTTCCCATGCACAGCTGCACTGGCCTGCTCTCCTCCCAGGTGAGGTAAGAGCTCCATCTCTCCCTTACGAGGCCCCTCACCCTCTGCTTGAACTCGGCCCGTTCCTCCAGGGTCAGGGTGTCTGCCTTGGCGATCACTGGCACCACGTTGACGATCTTACTCAGCCGCCTCATGAACTCCAGATCCAAGGGACGCAGCCTGAGAGGGAAAGCCCTGGGTGTTCAGCATGGCCAGAGGGGGGCGCTGGTGCAACGAGATTGGAGATCCTCCATGCTCACGCTGCTTTCCCCGCCTCCCCCCAGCCATGGGCCCCACCCTGGCAGACTGGGGCAGAGACGGCTAGCCACTGCCCTCAGACCAGTGGCACCATCAGGTGTCCAGAGCAGAGAGGCCAATGGGAATGGAGAGCCAAGTCCTCTAGCGACTGACAGCAGCATCAGCGAGGTGAATTCACCCACACAGCCCTAGCTGTGGGGCTGACCCAGAGGGGCCCACTGAGATGGGCAGCAGGGGGCCAGCCGGGATGTGGACTCTCCTTCGCTAGGAATCGGCCCAAGACGGATTCACACGACACGCCGCACACCGGCCCCCAGCCAGCTGAGCTGGTTACTGCCCCAGCCGGAGGCAAGCTGGCTTCCTCATCCCACTAGCAGCTCCATGAGCCAGCCAATCCCTTGCAAAGGGCTCAGGCTGCCGCTGCCCCCGCCCCCCTCCCAGGGAGAGGTCAGCCCAGCAGGGCATTTGGGTAGCCAGGCAGGGCACTGGGCACTCAGGAGTGGGCAGAGACTGATCACAGCTCACCAGTGGCCAGTGGGTGGCACGAAGTACACACAGCTGTGGACTCTGGTGTCTGGGATCTTCCGTTTGCGGCTGATGAGGATCTCCTCTCTCAGGTACTTCTCGTACTGCTCGTTGATGTACTTGATGATGGGGTCCCAGCTGGGTGATGGGAGAGGAGGCAAGAGACTGATCACCCGCATCCCCTAGGCACTGTGTGCACTGCACACACAGGAACTGTCCCACCCACCACTGAAAGGCAGCCACCTCGGGGGCGGAGACCAGCACCAGCGCACAGAAGGAGCTCAGATCTGACAGCGTGGCATAAACCCTTCAGCGAGGTGGGGTTGGAGGAAGGGGATGGTGTTTTAACCAAATCCCTAACTCTTACAGAAGTGTCCCAAGAGCTTTGGTGTCCCCACAGAGCGAAGAAGAGCTGGGTTTTAGGGTCTCCTCTGAAACCCCCCACAGTAACTGCATGGAGCTCACACACTAACTACCTGGAGCTCAATGGATCTAGCTCACGCAGCTGAAAGGCAGAGTCCGCAGTGCCAGGGTGTGACCCTCTGGTGCCAGGGTGTCATGTTATTACCAACCAGCTGCTCAGACTAAGCCTTCCCTGGTGCCCCTCCTTCCATGGCCCGCCCCCGGCCAGCAACGCTGGGCTCCCTCCCGCCTTGCTCACATTGCCCTTGGGGTCCCCAGAACCGGGCGAGAACCTACCAGTTTTCATTGTTGATCTGGTCGCCGAACCCTGGCGTGTCTGTCACAGTCAGCTTCATCTTCACGCCCTTCTCTTCGATAACTAGCGGGGACAGAGGGTGCAAGGTCATGGGGGGGGCCTCCAGGAGTCCCGTGGCCCCCCGCTGGGCATCTCTCGCACAGAGCCCCTCCCCAGCTCCCGCTGGCTTCCCACTGCTCTCTGGGCAGACTCCGCTGGGGCATTTCCCCGGACACATGCAGCAGAGCGGTCCAGGCCTGGAACTAGCAGCTGTGGGGGCTGGGGAGGGACCTTGGTGACTGCCTAGCACCTGGGGGACAGCGTGGGGAATCCATCCACTAGGCTCGCCCAGGCCAGGGGGCAACAGCAATGGCCCCGCGGGCACCCGGGCAGGCCGAGATGGGAGGACGGGGATGATGGGGCCGGCTCCTGCCCCCAGTGAAGTCAATGGAAGCTCTGCCATGGCCAGGGAATTGCCCCCATGCCTGCTGAGCTCTCACTCCCCTGCATGGAGCAGAGGGGCAGGAGCCACGGGCAGGCTGGCCTTCCCCTGGGGGGTCGCTCTTGGGACAGGAGGCGGCCAAGCGAGAGGCTCACAAAGGAGCCTCTGTTTCCCAGGGCAGCAGGCGCTTCTGAAATTGTCGGGAAGAGACTAGCGAGCACCAGCCGGCCGGGAATGGCAGGGATGGCTGGGGCCCATGGGGCGAGGGCGGGGCCTTGCTGGGCCCAAAGAGTCCACTCTGCGGCTTACGGGGGGAAGGATCCAAGGCTATGCCAGGACTGCCAGAAAAATGGGGGAGGGGGTCATGGTGGGGCATCTGGCAGGAGGGGGGGGGGCTGCACAAGGGCTCCTAGAGAGCTGGATGTCATGGGGTTCCCAGAGGAACAGACATGGTGGGCGAGGAAGGGGTCCTCCCCGCGGCTCCTGGAGGGCTGAAGAGCAGGGGACCTTACCGTGGGGGACG